CATCGTGCTCTCACCTGCGGGCCCAGTGACAGAGATCAGAGAGATCAAAGCCAGATCAGTGACCAGGGAGAAGCTAGGTCTTGCTAAAGGTTTCATTCACCGTGTAAAAGTCAGGGAAGACGTCCAGCCGGTTCAACAAAAGCTGCGGAGACTCCCACTCTCTGTTAAACAAGCTGTCTCTGCTGAATTGGAGAGATTGAAGAAATGGATGTGATAGAGAGGATTGACGCATCTCCATGGGTATCACCCATCGTTGTCACACGACGAAAGAATGGTTCTGTGAGAATGTGCGTGGACTTACGTGAACCAAACAAGGCTGTAGTGATGGACAGTCACCCACTTCCTCATATGGATGATCTCTTCTCTGAAATGCGGGGAGCCACTGTGTTCTCCACCATTGATTTGGCAAATGCTTATCATCAGGTGTTACTGGCAGAGGAAAGCTTAGATATGATTGCATTTATAACTCACGAAGGGCTCTTCAGGTTTCGTCGGGTTTCCATATGGACTGTGTTCAGCCCTGAGTGCGTTCTCCAAGATGATGTCTCTGGTGCTGAAAGATCTCAAGGGGGTCCAGAACTATCTGGATGATGTCTTAGTCTATGGCACAGAAAAGGAGGAGCATGATCGTAACCTGCAGATGGTGCTTGCTGCGCTAAAGAAAGCTGGCCTCCAGCTTAACAATGAAAAATGCCACTTCAACCAGACCAGCCTACGGTTCCTTGGACACACCATCTCAGCCCAGGGTTTGCTGCCAGACAAAGATCACCTCAAGACTATTACAGCTGCTCCAGCGCCCAGCGACGCCACCACACTGCGCTCATTCCTGGGGCTCACAGCATGATATGCAACATGTGTGCCAAACTATACATCTCTGGTGGAGCCCATGCAAGACTGCCTGCGTGAAGACACATTCCAGTGGACGGCAGCAGCACAGTCAAGCTTTGACATAGTCAAGACTCGCATTGTAACCAGTTCAGCGCTATCCGTCTTTGACCCCAGCCTTCCTACAATTGTGTGCACAGAAGCTTCGAATTATGGACTGGGGGCTATACTGACACAGATGCACTCTGATAACACATTGTTTTTTTTTAACAATTATTCCATAATTTAATGAGGGCCCAGTTCTGGGCCCCCCTCCCTACCCTGGGCCCGGGACAACAGACCCGTTTGTCCCCCCCTGTCGGCGGGCCTGGCTACCGCACTACTTAATGAAAAAAAGTCACCACGCTACTGAGAAATGTAGTTAAACTAGTAGCGTCACTACTTGTAGCGACGCTACTGCCCAACACTGGTAACCAGTTCAGCACTATCCGTCTTTTACCCCAGCCTTCCTACAATTGTGTCCACAGAAGCTTTGAATTATGGACTGGGGGCTATACTGACACAGATGCACTCTGATAACACAGAGTGCACAGTTGCTTTTGCCTCACGTTCACTGACCCCTGCTGAACGGAAATATTCCATTGTGGAGAAGGAGGCCTTGGCCTGTGTGTGGGCAGCGGAGAAGTGGAGGACTTTCTTATGGGGGACAAGATTTACACTGCGTACAGATCACCAGGCTCTGACCACACTGCTACACACAAAAGGACTTGGGCGCGCAGGGATGCGTATTGCCCGGTGGTCAGCCAGACTTCTTTGCTTCACGTATGTGAGGCATGCCCAGAGCTTACTGGCATCAGGGCACAGATAAAAAAGGGGTGGCCTAAAACAGCAAAGTCTCTACCTGCAGTGCTCAAACCCTACTTTGCTACTAGAGATGAACTCTCAGTTCAAGATGTGACAATATACAGGGGCCCTCACTGACGGCTAGTGCCTGTGGCCCTGAGAAAACAGCTGGTGGACCTGGCACATGAAACTCACCAGGGTGTTGTGTGCACCAAGCAGAGGCTGCGTGACTTATACTGGTGGCCCGGCATGGACATGTGGGTGCAGGACAGCATTAGTGCATGTGTGACCTGCCAGATGAATGATAAAAGAGCTAAGACGCATGCTGCTCCACTTCAACCAGTTTCACTGCCAGACGGTCCATGGCAGAAAGTAGGAATGGACATCGTCGGACCGTTCGAGTCAGCGAACTGGGACTGCCGCTATGCAGTGACACTGATTAACTATTATACAAAGTGGCCGGAGGTGGCTTTTACCCACTCATTCACAACCACTGCTGTCACCAACTTCCTGTCTGCTCTGTTTGCCCACTTTATCAATCCCACAGAACTCATTAGTGATAATGGGACACAGTTTACCTCGAGCGAGTTCGCAAAATTTCTGGCAGTGAGGGACATTACACACAGGAAAGTGTCTTTGTATTATCCAGAAGCAAACGGAGCCATTGAACGCTGGAACCGCGTTCTCAAAGAGACACTTCTTACTGCCGAGCAGGAGAGGAAACCATGTAAAAATCATTCATACAGGACTTCTTGCTCACGTACCGTGCAACTCCACACAGTACAACAGGAGTGTCACCATATGAACTCATGTTCAACAGGAAAATGCGCACAAAGGTGAACATCGGTCAAACAAGCAAAACTACTCTGCTGACAGAGAAGCAACTGCGCAACCGTGTCATCTCTAAACAAAATGCATCAAAAGCTTACACAGATGTGAGGAGAGGTGCACAAGTACCAAAGATCAAGGAGGGAAGCCTAGTTAGAGTATGGAAACCCTTCCATGTCAAGAAAGGACTGTCAAAGTTCCATAGACCTACAAGGGTGGTACGGAGAGCTGGTGCAAATGCGTATGTGCTGGAAGATGGACGCACCTGGAACGCTACTCATCTCTCTCTGGTTCCTGACAGGGTAACAGACACCATTGACAGTTCTGTTCCGGTACCTGTGCTGGGACCTGCACAAATGCTGAATGTTCCAGTACCTGAGTCGGGACTTGCACAATTGTCTTGCACAATTGTTATTTTACCTGGTAAGATTCCTAAACAAGAGGGGAAGTATGTTGTGTATTGAGTTACGGCTTAACCAGTAGAGGGCGCTGTAGTCCACAATTCATTGTACTGGATGTTGGTAAGAACTGAGAAGAAGAAGAAAAGAAAAATAATAAAAGAAGTTCTGTTGAGCTAGCTTGTTGCTCTTGTCTGTTCTGCTGTGGATGATCGATATAACAGCATTGCACCATCAAACCTAGTTTAAACGTGACTCTATGTTCCAGCTATATATTTAAAAGAGAGGGAATAATAGCAGACTTGATAGCGCCTGATATTCAACACGAATCAGACCGAAACGGCGCTCTCTCTCCTCAAGCCTTTATGTATGCATCGCATTATATTATTTAACCACTGGAACAAAGTAACACTTAGTAGGCGATAGCATACAAATAGAGGGATCCGCAACTATGTATTCCACAAAAATACAAACAGGCAAACCTTCCATGCCATTGCCAATTTTCCTGAGGCACTCGGCTGCTTTGATGGGACACAAATCAGGATAAATGCACCCACAGTGGATGAGAATGCTTTTGTGATAGGAAGGGTTTTCATTCACTAAACACCCAAGTCATCTGTGGCCCAAGTTCATGTTTTAAACTGTGTCATTGATGGCCAGGTTCAAAGCACGACAGCTTTATCCGAAGAAGAGGACGAGTTGACCCAAACCATGGCAGCAAACCAACTCCCCGCAGTATAAATTACCCGCTAGATCCCCTCATAGGGGTCAGCATTGACTGAGAGGCGAGACGCTCTCTGGCTGAACACCACACACACGTGAAGAATACGCTGAACACCACACACACGTGAAGAATAAGACATAAACTGGACAAATCTCACAGACATTTGACAAAGAGAAATGGACTAATGTGTCCCTAAACAGAGGGGTCAATAATATCAGTCAGTATGTGGTGTTTCATAAGTGCATCTCATCCTCAAAACTAGTTGTAGCAGCAAATAACCATAATGTGTAGTGATCAAAGTTATGTGTGTATTAAAGTAAGTATGAAATAAGTACAATCACAGGGTATTTTCGATTAGGCTAATATATAAATGTGTTAATTTATTTGGTAACACTTTACAATAAGGTTCATTAGTTTACATTAGTTAACTACTTTAGTTAACATGAACTAATGATGAACTACTTCTACAGCATTTATTAATCTTAGTTAATATTAATTTCAAAATTTACTAATACGTTATTAAAATCAAAGGTTGTATTTTGTTAACATTAGTTAATGCACTGTGAACTAACATGGACAAACAATGAACAGCTGCCATTTCATTAACTAATATTAACAAAGATTAATCAATATACTGTAACAAATGTATTGTTCATGGTTAGTTCATAATACATTCATGTTAACCAATGAACCTTTTTGTAAAGTGTTACCATTTATTTTAACATTTACACTAAGTACAATTTGGTATACTTCTTTTACACTACTGAGTAGGGACATTACATATTACTTTATCTTTCATTTTATTTCATTTATTTACGTTTTAAATTGCTAATATTATATTTGTTACATTTCTATTATTTGTCTTGTCTTCCCTTTTTGGTCTTAATGGTTTTAACGGTGAAACCGATGAAAGCACCACATTTTAGATGAAAATGAACTATTCATTTATTATATTCAAGCAACTCTGACGGAAAACGACCATTGCTAGTGCATTTGCACCCTCGTGTGGGTTATACACATAAACGCAGGAGTGGTCTGTGCTAAACAACAGTAGATGTGCTGATGTCGGTCTGATGCAGATTATAAACCTTCTTTTACTGTCTATGGTATAAACTCAGTGGACTGGACAGCAGATTAACAGCAAAGGTCAGAGGTCACGCTGTGTCCTTTGATATACGTTTGCTATATCTGCGTCACCAGCTGAGCGGGTGAGGAATTATCTAATATTATAAATAAAAGCTAAATGAAAGAGTAACCGACATCGCATTTTGAGGTTAAAGCTAACCACTGTTTATTAATGTAATGTTCTTCCCGATTGTAAACTGAGCGTTTAGTACAGTGTTTGGAATAACGGTTCTGTCCGTTCGTTAGTAAACAAACAAACGAACGGCCACTGCTGAATTCAGCGCTGTTCATTCGTTTATCCCATGGTTTATCCCTCTTTCCCACAGGCGTCCACCAGCATCATGGCTCATCTCGGAAGATTTCTTTCATTCGCAGTTTTATTTGGCTTCGTGACGGCAGGGTTGCATAAAAGAACAGGTAAAAGAATATTTTACTACATTTAAAGCTTTTGGAGTCTGTTAAACACTTAAAACATTGGTCTTCGTGTCTCCATGGGCCGCGTTCCTTTTGTCTTTTTCTGAGACATTTTGGTCACTTCAACGTATAAATCGTTTAACAAAAACTGGATCCTAAAATACCAGTGAAAATCTTCCCTAGAGCCCGTATAACATGTTTAAATCAAACGATTCGTCGTGAAAGGCGATTGGCTTATCATGAAGAGCGATGAGAAAAGTAACAGTAACACGTGATCATCTCGCTGCTCGGGTTGGCAACGCAGTGTTTATCCCGCTACTGTACTGTTGCTGCACATTGTTTTTTTGTTGTTGTTTGATATATTGTATTGATACACTTGAACAAAAGGAGTGCCTTTTATATTTAGTTATACAACTCTGCCAAATTAGCAGAAAGTTTCACTTTTGGCAGTGTTTGGGATAGAGATTTGAGGGGAACTCTTAAATCACTACTGCGTCATTTGGTTTTCATTAAATGTTGGATGGTGCTCGATGCAGAGCCAAATGGGAGGAGCTAGAGCTCCAGCTCCGCCTCGGTGGATCTAGTGGGCGGGGCTTCGCTGCAGCGCCAAATGGGAGCTCCGCCTCACTGGATCTAGTGGGCGGCACATGTTTGTTTTGATGCGCAAGATGCTGGCATACATAATATTTCCTTATTTTTCTCTAATATTTGTCATGATGAATGTGATAAATTATTTTCAGCATGGTCAGTATCGTTTCTGTGACAAACAGCATTACGTAAACACTTAATATGAACATTGCTCACACTATGTGTGTGTTTCTAAAAAACTGTTGAAACTTTGTATCTTTGTATTATTTTCTCTTTATGAGGATGAATAGTTTCGTTGTTTTTCTCACTTTTTAAGCCGCTTTGGATAAAAGCCTCTGCTATATGAATGTAAATTACTAGACTTAAAAGACAATGTGAAAGCTTACTATCTGTGCGCACCCCTCTTTATTTTCTGCATTATCATGTGGGTTATTTGTAAATTAATCATAAGACTAGGTTACATCAGACTTCTTCTTTCAACCTGCGCCAACGAGCAAACTCGTTTCCAAGATCGACTCTTGTTTTTGCTCGAGCACGATCCCTCTTGCGTTTTCTCTTTTTTGCCGCCTCAGAAGCAGTTTTAAACTTTTTCCTTGCCTCAGCCATGACCAGGAGTCGAGCAGGCAGAAAAATAGTAGCGAAAATGTGACCGATCTCGGGTATATAGCAGTTACCTCTGTTTGGTGACCTAAGATGGCGAGCTTGTGACCGTGAGACCCGCGTTAAACAAGGCGTTAGGACTTCAGAGCAACATAGCTTCCTAATCTGAACGGGACAATCACTAGAACAATCAATGTATTGCTAAACTATTATATAATTGACCAATAACCAATTGGCAATCTAACCTAAATTCGAGGTCGTGATAAAATGGGGTCAGATATAAAATGGGGTCAGATATGGAGTCAGATATAAAAGTCAAGTCATCCTCATTTATATAGCGCTTTTAACAATGTAGATTGTTTCAAAGCAGCTTTACAGAGATAAACTTAATATAATTTAAGGTAACACAGATTGGTTTGGTTTTATAGCGGTTCTTGAATAATGTTATTTTCCAGCTAAAGTTAGTTTTGATTGATTCACTTCCGGTGAAATGATCATTTGTTATTAAAATTAGGGGCCGCTAAGACGACACCGTTCTCTCTAAACAGACTTTAAACGCGAACCTGTGATAAACGCTGATGGCGTTCACATGCGCATTAAGAATTGATTCTATAGTTATGTGCGTTTGAATATATGTGTGCAGGTTTGTAATTCCCTACAAACATGCCTAAACAAACTACTTGTCTTGCCTATAAATTTTGATACAGAATTTTATTTTATCACTTCGGGGTACGCGAACCCTCATTTCCACAACGCTTTATCTGTAGAGTGGAATAGGGATCCTCCATAGGGAGAGGCTAGTTGACACTTCAGCACTGCGTTGTCATCGGGTCCAGGCGAAGCTCCTTCGTCAGATCTGGAAACAGCCTGAATCCGGCAGGCTGCGGGAAAACCTTGGGATAAACAAAGACACTAAAATTAGCGTAGATGCCATTCTTCTTATGATGTAACGAGTAGGGATGTCAATTTTCACAAATTCCCATGATCGATCGTCGTTTAAATTAACGATCAATTAATCGATTAATCGTTAGCCTTAATACTGCAATATGCGTCTGCTGCAGTGCATATGGCCAACAGCATGACAGCGTCTGCAAATGCTGCTCAAACCGCTATGTTCCTCACCAAATGGTTTTAATCTAAATAAAGGGCTAGTAGGATTGTAAAATGTTTCGATGTGATTGATAATTAAATTTCAGGGCTCGAATTTCGGCGCGGGATTGCGGGTATTGCGCATAATTCTAATAATTCCCACAGGTCTCCCATTTATAATGCAGGAAATTCCCGCAATCGTAATCCACACAGATTATAAAATCAAATCATTCTTTTAACAACTATCTGCCAGGCGCAATTTCACAAACAGCGTGAGTGTTCAGCGTGCCGCGTCTTCTATCTCTTCTCTCAAAATGTGTTGTGCAAGGCAAGCATCAAGCGGTGCGGCGATAATACACACTCGCGTTTAGGAGTCGGGACATGACGGAATATTCACTTGCACAATCGGGCCAGCAGTGCATCGTGACTGAAGTTTACCATTTGCACGTCTTTTTAAGTCTTACCAGTTTAAACATTCAAGCGATTTTAAACTAATCAGTGCTCGCGCGCTCTCTGAGATGATTTTCTATGCGCACATTCATAGAAAATCCGCCTCAAAAACAGCTGGCCAGTAACAAAAGTTATTTTTCGCGGATTATATTGCTTTAACACGCAAAATTGTGTCAATTTCGGTCTTCGTGAGTATACTCTAAACATAGTCGGTTTTGTCTTTTAATAAGCATAAAACGCATGCCAGTATAATGAACACAGGATCCGTGCACTAGCTCATTAATTTAGTTGTCAAAACAACAAAATATAGCTTTAAGTTAAAGGAATCAGGATTAATAGCCTATATATATTTAATTTATTCAGGACTAAAATACTACCCAGTGTTATTTTCCATTTGATTACTTTATTCAGTTTCTGTAGGCCTATATGAAGTTAGACCCATTGAAAAACTTTTCTCTTTATTTGTCTTTATTTGTATCTTTATTCTATTGTATTTATTTGTGCTACTTTTTTCAATTTAATTAAACAGTTTAAATCAAGCTTCCTTGTGTTGTGTAAATTCTTAACAACAATATTACCCCATTGTAAAAATGCAATGAGCGCAAACATTTAGGCAAGATAAATGTAATTTTTGTTTGGAAAAAATGCCCCCCGCCCTTCTCCCCCTCAAAAAAAAAATCCCCCCCATGAGAATCATCTAAGGGGGGATTTCCCCCCCATTTTCCAAAACGAAATTCAGGCTCTGAATTAAATTAAATATTTAATAATCAACACCAACGCCGCCTCAGATGCGCTTGTCAGAATGTGTGACTTGTGGACGCGTGCTCTTCCTGGAACAACGCACTTAAAACGGCAACTAAACCCAATGAATTCACACCGATTTAATAAAATAGTGTTCTCATGTTATGTAATATGACAGTCCCAAATTAATCCTCGTTATTAGTCGTGCATTCTGCTTGAGCGGCGCGCGCTGAATGAATAACTTAACCGTTGAGCACTTTGCTAGCACGTTATTTAACTCAAAGAAACGCATCCTATGAGATTAATCAGATATATACAAAATAAACATAATATTACAAATAATATCTGCACAAAATGACGTGAATGCACAAGTGAACTTGAACTAAGTTACGTGCCATTCAGAATGACTCATGTTGTGGACGTGCTCTTCCTGGAACAACGCGACACGGCAACTAAACCCAAATAATTCACAATGTTTTATTACAATATTGTTCTCTTTATAATGTTATATAATATGACAGTCCCAATAGTCGTTATTAGTCGTGCATTGCCATTTGAGCTGCGCGCGCTAAAGATCATGCTGCGTCAATTCTTAACCAAATGCATCCAATATGAGATAAATCAGATATAGATAGGCGCACACAAAATAAACTATTACAACTTACATTTGCACAAAACAAAAGGCAGCGAATGCACACGCAAACTTATAGTCATGATGAAGGTGTAAAATAGTCCCAAACATAACTCCGGCGCGCTCGCTTACATGTTTCGTGGTTGAGCAGCACGCACGCGCATGAACCTGCTTAATCGATGATCGATAAGGTTTATCGATTAAACGTGTTATCGACAATTAATCGATCATCGATTAATCGTTGACATCCGAGTACATCTGGATTTAAGGGAAGTGTTCCCAGTTCCGGCTGACCTAATCTATGCAGCCTAACATTGAATTATCGAAGTCTATAATGTATTATGTGTATGCTAGGTCAAAGAGATGTGTTTTTAGTCTAGCTTTGAACTGACAGAGTGTGTCTGCTTCCCGGACAATGGTAGGAAGACTGTTCCAGAGTTTTGGTGCTAAATAGGAAAAGGATCTACCGCCAGCAGTCGATTTTGATATTCTAGGTATTATCAACTGGCCGGAACTTTGAGATCGCAAAAGACGTGAAGGACTATAATGTGTTGAGCTCACTCAAGTACTGCGGAGCTAAACCATTTAGTGCTTTGTAAGTAATCAGCAATATTTAGAAATTTATACGATGTTTAATAGGGAGCCAATGCAGTGTTGACAGAACCGGGCTAATATGGTCATACTTCCTGGTTCTGGTAAGAACTCGAGCTGCTGCGTTTTGAACTAGCTGTAGTTTGTTTATTAAGCATGCAGGGCAACCACCCAGTAGAGCATTACAATAATCTAGTCTTGATGTCATGAACACATGAACTAATTGTTCCGCATTTGTCAATGAGAGCATATTGCGTAATTTAGATATATTTTTAAGATGGAAAAATGCGGTTTTACAGATACTAGACATGTG